AAAAAGCGTCGGGAAATAAAATTTATTTAGCGGAAAATAGTTTAAATTAATCAAGCGTGTTTATCATTAAGATGAATTGATAAAGCTTATTACGTAAATATGACATTTTTATTAATAAAAAATATTGAAATGAAAGTGTCATTTAAATCAACAAACTTTTTACAACAAGCATCCTTTTTTTTTATACCTGTCTTGAAAAGTTTTACAATCAATTGAGTTTTCAAAAGACCACACAAGTAAAATTGCCATGGATCATCACATTCAACAATGAATTATTATTTTACTTCTCGCACTAAACGTTTTTATGAACGATAAAAAATAGGAGCCTCAAAAAACAATAGCCACTATTATCTCGTAATATCAGAATTTAACGATAATTTATGTGATCGTATAGGTAGACGGCAGCATCGTGGAGTGCTTCTCTCTGTTAATACAGGCCTGTTCCTCTAGGAAAAATCCTCCGAGGTATTGCATTACTGTAATAAGAATTTGCAAATACAATTCTTCGGAAGTTTAGATCAGATATCTTTAAAAGTAGATATTATATGTTATTATTAATAAGAACTAATTATATAAACAAATTTTAGACGGCAAAATATTTGTACCTCCTTATCGAATAATGCGCAACTCTATAGATATTTAAGGAAATATTTAACGTAATCCTTAGTAAAAATTATCTTTTTTTTTCATCACTTGGAGGAAACGGAGGCCCAAATTCAAAATCAATCCCCTAAATTCTTTTCAGCAGTCTTGAGTTTCTCACGGGCGATAATATCAACAAGTTTGTTTAAAAAACGATGACAATATTATTTGGGCCATATTCCATTAAGTTACGAGTAGTAGCCGTAAATGACGAAAACTCGACTATATTAACTGAAAAATTTATGTTTTGTCTTACATTAAGAACAATTTCTAAACCATTGTCTTTAGAAATTTTGAGAGATTTCTTAATAAGCTTGAAGACCCTAAAAAGCATTATAAAATGCGACTTTAAAAATATAAATGTAATCAGGTATCCGCCAACAAAAAAAAAACCCCCTCCAATGTTGATCGCCTATGTTATAAATAATTTAAATAATTTCATACCATCTTGTGATCACTATAATGCGTTACATTATCAACATTACATTCATCCCTTTGTTGACACCTATCAAAAGCGAAAACGGTATTATATTATGCAAATTAAACCATTGAAATAATTATATTCAAGATATTTGGGGAACACTTTATACATGCCGAATTTCACCGAGTGCGTAGATATTCGACAAAATATTAATATTCTTCCACGGAATGAATTATTCGAAAGTCTTAATAGAATCAGACTCTTTCCTTGTGTTGGTATCGAATTCTTGTATAATTGATAGTCAATACATCCAATTGTTGATAACGGAACTTATAAATTGATGTAATTAATCCAAATTCATACCACAAGTAGCCTTTTCTTGTTTGTTTCCAGGAAGCTAGATAGTTTTTCGCAGACTTCAAAAGGTTGTGTTTAGATCAATTCTTTCAAGATTGATAAGTTTGAGTTCACTTACAATTAGCTTCATGACACCATAGTACGAGCTTCAGTAGTCTAAATCAGCTGTATAAGACGATCAGGTGGATATGTCTAAGATGGACAAAAAATTTAGAAAAGACTTTATTGAAAGTTATTACTAACATTATTAATTCAGGGACTCTTGGGAATCGAGACAACATGTCGTGATCATAATTTTAAAAAAGCCCAAAGGATTAGTTTATGGCTTGCCCCAGAATGAATTCGTTCTAGCTTTGAGAACTAATGTTTTGATATCTTGTAAGTTCCAGATTATTTCGGTTTGAGTTTTGTTAACTTTATCGATAACGGATCACTATAGTATAAAATAAAATAAAAAATTGATTAATAGAGCAGTAATATTTTTATTAGTAATATAAAGAACCTTGATAGGTACTTTTCTGGAATTGTAGACCTTATCAACAAGAAACCCTTTAGATTGCATATCTTATTTTGAGGTCTAAGAACTACATTGATCAGATT